AGAGAAGACACTTACTTCTCCTCTTTCCTTCAGAACTTTTCCTCAGTAATTTTATCTCACAGCAAGTAAGTAAATGCAACAATCTGCTCATAGTGATCATGCACCCATCTTCCTGACATTAAACATCTAATCACAAATCAAACCCACCACAAGAGGGCGACTCATTACATCACTTCTTTAACACCCAGGTTTTGACACTTTCTTTTAGACAGGGTGGATTATTTTTTTCTTGTTCAATGATGAAAACCATTACAATTGAAAAACAACAAAATGAATTAGAAATTAAACCTGATTGCTGTTCTAACAAACGAGCAGCTCAAATACAAACACTTTTAATAAAGTGCAGCTCAAACCTTTTGGAGAAAGCTGCATTCCTCTGAGCAGAACCCAACACAACCCAGAAAGCTTTTAAAAAATAATTAATTGATTCTTTACAAATTTTGAATTTGGAGGTAGAATCAATATTTGTCAAAAATATCCAAAGTCCAAAAATTTTAAATACATTTATGTCTTCATACATTTACTGTTATTGTAACAGTAAAGGTTCTTTTGCTTTAGACAGTAGAATATAAAACGAATAGATCTGAGAGTAGAGTAAGGTTTTATAAAAATAAAGTGGTACAGAAGATATTTAGTGTCACTGTCATGAAAAACTAGGAGACAACCATGTGAACATGCTCTTAGAATACCTTTCTATTTTACACTTATTCATTGGTTCAAAAGCTAAATTGTGACAAATGAAAGTTTTTAGGCAAGTTACTTGAACAGCATTGCATTTTTTCTTCCTGGCAAACATCATGAGCAGATATCGTAGTTTCAATATCAGATTCCACTGCTTTAATAACTGTGATGCATAACAGGAGCAAGTATTAGTTCACTGGATGGTCATCTTCTTTCTCAGTACTCAAAGGAGAAAAGTCGAACAAATGCTTTTTGGGTGAACTTTAAAGGGTTATATCACAATGGGCACGGTGCAAATTTGGCTAAAGCCACTTTGCTATCCCACTCCCACTGAAAAAGCTTTCAAGTAAAGCCACAGTTGTAAAAGTGGAAAAATATCTGACATATTGTTGAGTCAAATAAATAAACAAACACGAGAGACATTTTCTCTTGGTGCAAAAGTGCAATGAACTCACCACTCACTGGGACAGCTGTAAGTGCAACACATTTTTATTTGCTTTGCAGTTTTTTAATCATGCTTTAGATTAGCTACATATGCTGATTAATGATCTCTTTCCAGTTTTAAAGAAATATGAGGGGTACTTCCCAAAATCTGAGCTGCATTCCTTGGTCAAACTGCGTTGCCCCACAAAACTGCAGTTTACCAAATAATTAAAGTGAGCTTGCATTACAATAACTTTTGTGAACTTTTGTCCACTTATTACTTTGAAGGATCAGTCATTTCTAGCATAACCCACCGTGAACTGAAACTGCTGTTTTAACATTTCCACATTTATCCTAAATATAGAAAAGCTGAGACATCATGAATTATCTCAGTTGTAGCTGAGAAGTCAGTTAAACCTCAAAAGGTTGTTTCTTGTCTATTCAGGTTAAAGTACTAGTATGAACTGTGTCATGCCACAATCTAAAGAAACTCAAGAACAGATGAGAAACAAAGTCATTGATCCCTGTCGGTCTGGAAAAGGGCTACAAAGCAATTTCAAAGGCTTCGGGACACCCTCAAACTGCGGTGAGAGACATTTCCAACAAATAGAGAACCCTATCCAGGAGGTCACAGAAGAATCCAGTACAATAGCCGCTGTGGCTGAAAACCACAGGTTTTGAAAATTCAGAAAAAGCTTGAGGTCAAGTTAGAGAGAAGTGAGCTTTTCTCGAAGGTCCACTTCCCTCTTTATTAACATTCCTGAACTCAGTTGTGTGTTTTCCAGCTAAACATGGAAATACAGAACAGATGAGATGTTCAGATCTACTTCAGTTTTAACTCATGTATGGGAAATTAATATTTTCACTCACATTATTCTCAGTTTACATGTAATTCTGAGGTTTTCCTGAAGTTTTCTTTTTTAATAGTATGAACTGGGACTTTTTTTTTTTTTTATCAAAGGCCTTTCCTGGGATGTTTAATACTCTATTTTGACCACTGTATTAAATGAGATATCATGTCTGCTTTATGTCACAATTATGATAAAAAGATCATTTTATCAAAGTGTTAGCTTCAAATGTAGAGGTAAAAATTGCCGTAAAAGATAAAACATACAGAAGTACATCACATAGATAAGTAGAATATCAGAACAGCTGCGACACATCACTATCTCACTGAGTATGCCAATTGCTGTACCTATTGGCCTGCTGTTCAACCAGTTAATGCTCCTTAAAGTATATCTGGAAAGAGTCCTTGTCCTGAGGAAGCCATCGCACTGGCATCCTAGAGATAACTCTCTAACAATATGTGTGCAACTGCAATAAACATGCACAATAACAGTGTGTGGGTCCCAGTCATTACATGTATTATTTTACTCTTCTGAACTCCTTTTTCTGACCACCTGATATTTCCTCTGTGCTTGTACAGCCTTGATCCATGATTTGAATCTGCATTGTTAACTCAGGTGGGTGTTCAGATATCTGAGGTGAACAGCGTTTTGTGAGTTTCTGAATTTGCAAGTTGTAGTTCCAAATATCCACTAACACAAGTGGTTGTCTATTAAACAGGAAAGTGCTATTTAAACTATTAAAACTCAATACAAACAAGTTCCAGCTGTAGCATGTACTATGAAGTATGTTCAGTAAAACCAGAGCACTACTGAAAACCCAGCATTAATCCTGAAGTTAATGTTTTAGTTTAAGCTTCCTGTACGCAAAATTTTTGTTTTTACAGAATTGTTATCCTGGAAAAATTCTCTTTCTGTATTTTTAATTTTAAATTGTTTTTTTGGCTGAAGTACGGTCAAAAGCTTTCATTTACTATATGCACTATAATTAACTTTCTTTCCTCCTACATGTCAATAAGTGGTATTACTGCAGCTTGGACGCAATCAGAAACCACTGCAGCTCAGCTTTTATTATCATTATGGTAACCTAGCATGCTGCTTTCAAAATGATTAAATAGTTTTTCTATTTACAATAGTTGTAGTACAATGACTCTTACTTTGATCCAAAATAAAAACCAGTGCAGATTATTTCAGATGAATAACACTACTGCTTTAATTGTCTCAACTGTGTTTATTATTGATGTATACAAGTTTACTGAATAATAATATTCAGTAAATTTATATACTTGGATGCATTTATTGATTTTTGGGTACTTGCAAGAAAAAAGATTGAATAGGGATAAAGTTGATGAACCATACCATCTTTAAGCTAGGTTAAGAAGCAACATAATGATCAGCAAGCAGGAGTATGGCTTTATGCCAAGAAAAAGCACTACAGGCTGATGTTTGCTGTGAGAGTGCTTCTCTCGGTATGGAGAAAGTCAGAAGAGGTGCACTGTGTCTTTTATGAATTTAGAAAAAACAGAGGAGCTGAGGTATTGCACGAAGTCAGAAGTGGCAGAGAAGAACAAAGGGTAATGTGGGACAGTGAGATAGTCGTGAGGAGTGGAATAGGAGTGACAGACGGGTTAAAGGTGGGCATGGAGGGCATCAGAGATCTACTCTGAGCCCATCATCAGAGATCTTGTTTGTGGTTGTGATGGACAAGTTGACAAATCAGGTCAGGCAGACGTCTCTGTGAACAATGATGTTTGCAGACGATACTTATCTGTAGTGAGAGCAGGACCAGGTGGAAGAGACTATTGAGAGGTGGAGCCATAATCTAGAGAGAAGAGGAATGAAAGTAAGACAGAATGAGTGAGGATAGAAAGAGTAGAGGTAGTAAAGAAAGATGAGTTTAAATACCTGGGTTTAACAATTCAGAGTACACTGGAGAGTGAGTGGAGATTAGTGTCAGGTGGGATTTGGGACAGAAGAATAGCAGGAAACGTGAAAGGGAAGGTTTACAAGATGGCAGCAGGCCTACTGTGATGTATGGTTCAGGTTATGGTTTGTGCACTAACAAAAACATGGGAGGCAGAGCTGTATATGTTAAGACTTTCACTAGGACTAGGATGAACAATATTAGAAATGAATACATGAGAGCGAAAACTTGGGTTGGATTTTGCATTTTTGCACAGCACACTGAGAGGATTTTTTCCCAAATCTTCAGTCTTTCCTCAATAAATGAGTCAGGTGGAGTAAAACAAGTCCAAATTGTCAACATTTTAATGATTAAATTGTAAATACAGATGGAAAGTTTATGATAACAGAATATTTTCCTATAAGATGAGAATTTTTGAGCATGGGATTGTTGAGCAAGTTTTTTAATCTAACACGTCTTAAAATTGTCATGACCAGTCACACCAAAGCAGATCGTCGGCTGATTAAAGATCCTGGATATAGTAACAAAAGATATTCTTGATTTAGAAAGCAAAGCGAAAACCCTTTAAACTTGTTTCCATCTAAGACTATGTCCACACGTACATGGGTATTTTTGTAAGTGGAGATTTTCCATTTTCGTTTTAAAAAAAAGAATCATCTTCCACACATGCATTTTTGTAAAATATCTCTATGATATAATGCTGTGTCGAAATGTTGGCCAATCAGAAGTCTAGATGCCTGAGAGGGTAAGCGTAAACAAAGATGGCGCATAGAAGCAGAAATGAGTCCTATGTGTGGACAGACAGTGAGGTGGAATTATTCCTTAATATTACACTTAGGTTGTGAGAGCGTCTGTGTTGAATGTAAAAGCTACGTCCAAAGTTCACTCTGTCTTTCCAAGTGGAGGGGCAGCAACTGCGTGTGTATATGTAAGCATGTAAAAACTGCAGATCTGACGTTAAAAAAGGTGCACACCTTTGATGTTGCGTGGCTAAATCTCCATTTTGCTCGTCCACATGTAAACGCAAAAACTGAGTTTTTCGAAAATCTCCACCCTGGCAGGAGTTTTTAAAAATCTCAGTTTTCAGTGGACAAAAGGCCCAAACGCATAGAAAAAGCTGTGTTTTCAAAAATACCCGTGTATGTGTGGACGTAGCCTAAGTGGCCACTGTTTTCTGTTCAGCTTCATTTCAGGAGTTGATCTCATGGCTCTGTTTTCTGCACTATTTGTTGGGCATAGATGTTAAGTTATGGAGTAACTCTCTTCTCACATATCCAGAAGTGTTTATTGGAACATGTTTCATCATTCCAGCCGTTTTGCGAGTCGTGAACCTTTATCTGTCCACAATTTTCCGTTCTGCCACCATTTGGTTCACCACTATTCCAGTAGCTGAAATACAGATAAAATTATAAGAGTTAAACTCAACAGATCAGTCAGTCTTTTGTTTTTAGTAACAAGATATGAATTAAATTAAGTTAGTTAATGTACTTGATGATATAAGAAGACTTTATGGACAAGAGAGGAATTTAATTTTTATTTCAACCTTGTGGTCATGCGAGTCCCATCCACCCATTTCCATCTTCCGTCTGTCTCTGAGTCAGTCAGTCCAATCCACAAAGACTTCTTGAACTGGTTCACAAAATTCTAGTTGAAAGACAAGTAAGTGTAAATATACAGAACTTAAAGTGATGTGTCAGTACATTCTCTGATTTCATTCAGTGTTTTATTCTGAACATAGTACATTAATTTATGTTTGCACACACACACCTGTTCCTCTCGGCTGTTGATAATCATCAGGTGTGCACCTTTTTGAAGACAGTCTTGTCTGCTTTCTTCCCAGGATTTCTTCTCCAAAGACACTTGGTACAAACTATCACTGAAGGCCACCCAGTTTCCTTGGCAATCTGTTTAAGAAAAACAGAATAATAATTTGGGCTTTGTTAGGATCTTATCTTTAAGGCTAATATCTCATAATTAGCATCACATATTTGTTACACAAGTGTCAGTTGTACAAATTCACAAAGCTTTAACATATGAAAGAAAAAGAAAACACTGTCCCATTGTTGCACAATATGTCTAGTTTTACATCAAATAAAAAAGTTTTATTTT